CACTGTCAATAAATTCACAGACTCACTGGCCAAGCAGATCTTTGAAACGTGTGTCCAGCTCAATGTGATACTTGTTCAGGTAGCTGAATAGCTCTTCTGTTCCAAGAACCTTGGCAATTCTGACCAACTGTGGGAAAGATTCTGCTGTTAGCATATTGAGTATTTTAAGACCTAGATATTGTAAAAAGGTTCATAGAAGAATGACAAGTCATACCTGGTCATAGTTGTCTTGACCATGGAAAAATGGCTCTTTCTGGAAGATCATACTGGCTAACATACAGCCTAAGCTCCACATGTCCAAACTGTAGTCATACATCTGCAAATTATTTAGGAATTATTTATTTAGCAAATTATTTAAAGTGAGTGAGTGAGTGAGGTGACGTGACGTGTGGCCGAGTATGGTGATATTATTAGTCTGAATTTTTACATGGGTGGTTGGAACAAAACAACAATGAAATTCTGGACTTAGATGGCAATAAAGCCACTGATTAGCCCCTTTAAATGCTGAAATTACCTTGCATCCCCGTGAGAAACAATTAATGTCTGAATAGGGCTACACATAATAAATATGTGATGTTTACAAAAAGGGACACGTTTTAGGAGCTATTCATGTACAAATCCACATAAACCTAATGTGTTTTTTTCCCAAAACAGTATGGAAAGGCCATGAATATAAAAGACACATAACATACCTGATAGTCAACCAGCAGCTCTGGTCCCTTATATGATCTTGAGGCGACCCTTACATTGTATTCCTGTGCTGGATGGTAGAACTCAGCAAGACCCCAATCTATAAGCCGCAACTACACCAGTTAAAAAAAAAAAAAACCACATACAACAGTTCATTTAACATACAACATTGATCTGCAGTCACTAACAAGGGACACATTAAAAAAAAACCTTCACAGTGCCGTTATCGTACTTCACCTTTCTCATCTGGTGGTCTATCATGACATTATGAGGTTTGACATCCCGATGCATGATGCCCATGCTGTGAGAGTAGTCCAGTGCCTTGCAAAGAGACAAAGCACATGCACATAACGCACTCTCCTGCTCAAAATAAATGAAAGTGTAATCTTATTTCAGCTACATCAGTGTTCTTACCTTGAGAAGTTCATACAAGTAGAACCGGATATCAAAGTCTGTTAGTCTCTGATACAGATCCTACAAATCAGAACAACATTATGCAAGATATTAAATGTTGCAAAATTCAGTTTAATTCCTTTTATTGATGATCAAAATAAGATCAGACAAAACTAGTTTATAAGAAAAAAAAAATCAAACGTTGTACCTTGAAATCTGTGTTATTGATGTACTCAAACACAAGGGCTGGCGTTCTAGACTGT